AAATATGAGGAACATTTTTTATTTTCCACAGGGTCAATTTTATTCATCTGGTGAAAACACCTTACAATGACAAAAAAAGTTAAGTTACATGGAAACCCAATTCTGACAACCGTGTTAACAGTATTGAAGAGGCGGGTAGGAAACGGTCGAACGTGCAAAAGCTGAGCACTTGTCTGTGCACCGGCTCAGGGGGGTTCTCACTTCTGTCACCACGGGCCGCTCTGCAAAGGTGTGGTGTCGCGTCCCTATCAGCTGTTTTAGCTACAGACTGGCATGTGTTTCTGTGGGGAAATGAGCTGGATCTTTTAGCATCCAGTTACTTGGGAACCTGCCTTGGTTTGCTGGAGAGGAAGGCACGAGCCAGTTCATTAAAGACAAAGTCGGAGGAACCATCTCAGCAGCTGCTGGGTCAGCGGTTACCTCTCCTCCTGCCAACATCACCGACCTGATGACGGATGTTTCAGCTTGTCCTTTCTAAGAAAATAACTCTTTATCTGACCGTGCACTGATATCCTGCGGCACTGAGCAACAACTTAACAGTCGGGAGACCATCGTCTGGAGCCAGGCTTAGGGAACAGCCAGAGTTGGTTAAACCAGCGCAAGCGAGGGGTGCTGGCAAACCAGACGGTGCAGCTGGTGGGAGCAGCCACCTCCCAGGTGAGAGCAGGCACCAGGGCAGCGCCGATGGGCACCCAGACGGCACTGCGGTCTTCCCTTTGGGCATAAAGCAGCTCTCCTTGGCCAAATACCTGACATGCTGCAGGAGGGAGAGACGCCTCAGCTACACATGCTCATTGCATAATTGTCAAATATGCCTGTAATACAATTCCGTCAGAGGCAATTAGTGCTGCAGTGCGGTCGCTCTGGGAAGCCTTCCTCTCCTAGGCTGAATCGCAACTATCCAATCTCTGTTGGTTTGGCTGAAAAAAGATCATGGCAGTGATGTCTTTTCACTAAAAAGGATTGTTTCCCACTCTGCTGTTATAAAACCGAAATATAAACTAGCCAAACTCTGCCTTCACCAGGACTCTGCGAAAATGGAACACTTTTTGGATAAAATAACTGTAATTCAAACTGCAGCAGTCAGTGCTGTGCCTACTTTGGTACCCAGCCAGTGAATTTTAAAGTAAACACCCTCCAGGACTGTTCTCCATTTGGATTTATTAGTCATTACCAAGAAAAGATAATTAGCACTTCTGAAGCATTGTGCTAATCAGTAGCATGAACTGTTACCAATAGAAACGGACTGGGCTACTTGTGCAGCGCAGGAACATGGCAGCTCCGTTGTACTCCCTGTACAGAATGAGCACACGGGTGGGCAGATCCTCAGCTGGAGGAAAGGCTCGTAACTACCAACAACTCCGGTGGAGCTAATGCCAGTTTACACGGGGTAAGGCAGGGAGGGGAGCTGTTCCTTCGCCTGTTGGGCTTCTCCTTCTGTTATCCTGGAGGCAGAGCCGTTTCTGTCACAGTATACAAACCTTCTTGCTGGTCAAAGGCAACGGTAACTACTACTTTACTGCACAACAGAAAAACAGAAGGTAATCATTGTTCTTTTGTATGCACCTGCCAACAAGAAGGAAAATAACCTTGTGGTGGAACAAGAGGAACCTGGGTGTATACCTGGATCCTTAAGGCAACGATGACTTTTTTCTCTTCCTCTTTCTAATCTAATGAGAAAACTCTGTTGGACTCAAGTCAGTGCTAAAACTCGCAGAATTGGTATTTCACTTGTTGTTCCCCAAACTTCCATTACTTATGATGATCTGTAATAATCATATGAGGGATGGGATGCAAATTTTACGTTCTTAGCCTCAAACCCTGAGCATTAAGCATGCCAGGCTCCCTGCTGTACAAAGAGGTATTACTTACTGAGCTCAGGGAAGTCATCTATTAGATTTACCAATGCTGCTATCTAAATACTACAATGCATAGGCTTATGTGAAGTAGTGGTCTTTGTTTTTCTGTGCCTGGAAGCATGAACAAAATCCATGCTGAATAACAGAGGTAGCATGTAAGCTTGGGAAGGTTTCTGTTTTGGTGGGCACTAATAACAAAGGTAGCTAGATTTACCCCCAAAATACTTGCAAGTCTGCAACAACTGCCCTCTTTCCTACACTATACAGAGCATTTCAGGTGAATGTAACACCCCTCCAGCCAACGAGTGCTTCGTATCCTCTGGGAAGCACACAGCAAATCCTGGGATGGAGTCCAGTATGCATGCAAAGTACTGTGTCTGCAATTGATGTAGGGGCTGCGGTGTGCTGTGCTGGTAGAGGGTACCTTACCTGTGTAATTCCCACTGATGCTGATGGCATTTACTTTTGTACGCCTTCCTTGCCACACCTGAAGCAGAGGCTCTTAGGACTGCAATGCCAATGCTGGGAACACTTGTTAATGCACACGACAAATAGGGGACCACCCTGGCAACATCAGAATGGTTGAACTCAAAAGTACTCGTGCATGTTTGCGCCTCTCCTAGCAAGGTGACTGCTGGGGCAAGTCTGATTATCGCCAAGATGAAGTTTGTCTGATAACAACAAATGTGATGGGCTGGTGGTCGTTTACAAGCTACGTGTGCAGAAGTAAATGGGTCTGTGAGTGTTTGCTTTTCAGCTGCTGCTGGGAAACATGCACCCTCCTGCCAGGTCACAGACCAGTGACGTTACAGACCTCTTAAAGCGGTTCCACAGTCGCAGAGGTGGAGGCATAGCTTGAACTCAAATAGCTGTCCAGTACACAGAAGTTGCTATGGCAGCGCTTTATAGATATACATTGCACAAGAAAGCGGTGATGTCAGACCACACTGACTCTTTTTTTGTGTCTTACACAGAAGGCTCGCACCCACCCTGGGAACTGTGGAGCAGAACAAATAGCGGAATATAGTATCTATCTCTATATATCTACTTAAGTCTATTGTCAGATTGCATCTGACCGTGGAACTGGGTTTAAAACAGCTAGGTAACAATTTACATATTATGTATGTCAACAACAACATCTCTCCCCCTCCCCTTCCCCCTTTCCCACCTGCAGTGCAGAGCAAGCCGACTTCATAGCATCCTTCACAGCAAAATGGGTCTCTGCTGCATCTTCTTGTCTTTATGAAACTCACTTAATTCTGGTACTTTAACACCTACTCCTTCCTCTGCTGCTGGTGCTATTGCAGAGGAGAAATGCGGCCGGGTAACACTGTCTCCTTGGAAACCCTCTGGCCTAAAAGGCCCCGTTTGGTGCCTGTGGGTGATGAATAAGCCGGGCTATTGCACCAGCATGATTTAATGGGGAAAAAAAAATAAAAATATTGGCCTGGGCGTGCAGCAGGTTGCTGCGAGGAGCCCGCGGGCAGTGTACTACCCTGGGCTGGGGCAGGAGCTCTGCAGTGGTGTGGTCTGGGAGCAGGGTGAGGGGCCCACCTCTCCCTTAGCCTACAGATTTCCAACTAATTGTAAACAACGCTGACTTCAAGTCTGCTGCCAAAGCCTCAGGCTCTTTAAGAGATAACCCTCTGCTCATTTATTGCCTGAGGATATTATTATTTCTGGAATGAACTAGTTGCAGATCACAATACTGGGCAGAATTATAGTACAAAGTGTGTTTTAGTGCAAACCTACTTATGAAACGGCCACAAATCTTCTTTGGACAGAAACGGCTGCAGAGCCCCAATCTTTTGTGTAGAAAAGTGCCCGCAGCTCATTTCTGCATCATCTTCATCTTGGGATGGGTCTGGCCAGGGCTGGCCCTGGTGTGTTGTGTGTGATAGCACGGTACGGCTCTGTCTCGCTGCCGAGGCCCCAGGGGGGTCACGCACAGCTAAGGAGCAGCTTAGCAGGGGCTATGCCAGCTGCAGCCCCCGCCCTGGCCATGCCAGCCGTTGGGGAGGCTGCGCAGATTAGAAGCTCTTCGCTCTTACATCTGATACGACATGCAAAATGATCCCACTCTGCTGAAGGCTCAACGCCGTACCTCTAATGTGAAATTTCTACAGACAATCCAAAGATTTGGTTTTAAGAAAGAAGTAATTAGTATCTACACATGCTGCCTTCAGCATACTTTCCCTTAAAAGACTGCTGCTGTGTTTTGTATCATGAAAAGACGGATATGAAAATGTTTTGTGCCAGGAATGGTAATGCAGTAGAGCACAGCCACTATATAGTGGTAACCACTGTATTCCTCACTAAAAGTGATGCAATAGGTGATTAATAAGAATGAAGCTCAGTATTTATAATTAGCTACTTCATGTAAGGCCTTTCAATAAATATGTACGTGGAGAGATATGTATGTTTTTAATACTAATTCAAGTGTGAACTGATTTGGTCTTTGGTCTTTCTGCTTTTGTGATTCATACTGCAATAGCAGCTTTTTTAAAAAAAAAGTATTTTTAATTTAAATTGGTCTAGCCAAGTGCCACACTAAATATAGTGAGCATATGCAGTATATAAGAGCAAGGCAGGAAAAAGGATTATCAAAATAGCTGAAATAATTTTGTAAACAGCCTAGACTGCATGCCTATATGGTTTAATTGGCATTCCTATCCTGTCAGATCTGTATCGAGGCAGCCACATGCTTAAGCACAACTTGGTCAAGTTAGCTGGCGCATTTACTCCTGTTTAGTGCAAGTCTGGGCTTTAATTCAGGGCTGGGGTTTTTTATCTTTAATGAAAATTGAAAGGTGCAAGTGCTTTGAACAGCTGTACTCTAGCATGATCTTTCTACAGACAGTCACCTTGAACCAACACTTTGAAATAAGCCTTGCTATCAACTTGAACAGGAGGTTAGCCAGGCACCTGTGAAGAAAAGGGCATTCTCTATGTCTGCCTGTTGCAAATTCTTCCGCAGTTAGGCTTGTCTCTGCTAAGCATGTAGATGTGAGACCCATCCTGGAATTATTTTGCCCAGTTCCAGGATACAATGGCACTTTTCCGTTGGGCTTTTTCTTTGTTTATTTGTTTGGTTTTGGTGTCTGTCCACAGAATGAAGGTGCTTAGCTGCAGGGCAAAGCTTCAGAGCTCCCTGGGTATGACAGTGAACGGGATGACAGGACTGCTGGATTCAAGGTCCAGAGCAGTAAGGAAGCATTCGATGGCTGCTTCGTTTTTCCCCTGAGCTTGCAAGACCTCTCCAAGGCTGTTCCAGGCCTTGTGACTGGTGGTCTGGATCCGGATGGCATCTCTGAGGACTTTCTGGGCCAGGTCCCTCCGCCCAAGTCTGCTCAGCACCAGGCCCTGTCAACAAACAAGAGACCAGCAGTTAACAACAGCACAAAACAGAGGAAGAAATGGAGTGCCCCGAGCTCCCAGTGACCTGGGCAGATGTATAAGTGCAGGCACAGGAGTCCTATGGGGCAGATCTCCATCTATTTCTGGAGAAGAGAAGCAATCAGCTGTTAAGTTCTGCTTTTTCTTGATTGCGATGTGTAATTTTAAAAAAAAAACAATTGTGAAAATAATTTTTTTTAAGCAGGGGCTGATCCAGCTCTGCAAGTGCTCCTGCTGCGTGTTACTGGGAGAGCGTATACTGGTGCTATATAGAGGAAAGGCTAAGGACCCTTTAAACCTTCCTCTCTCCTTACAGTGGCTTCTAATCCCCAGGAAAATATACACAGGTTCAATTACACCCAGTATCTAAATTAACTCTTGCACATCTGGAACATCCAGCTGAGGCTGAGGTAAAGTCTCTCAGCTCCTACATCCTGACCATAGAAGAAGATCTTTCTTCTTAACAAATGGGTCTAGAAGGACACGGTCCCCTTCCAGCCTTCTCAGGGCAGGCTGTATGTAACAGCATGGGGCCCTCTGTCCTCCTGCACTCCAATGCAGATCCTAAAGCAGTATGGGGGAGGAGAAGGATGGAGGAACCTTGTTTAAAAAGCTGTCCTTAGGGTAAGAAAAGACACAAGTGGGTGTAACCATCTGGAAGGAACAGGAGAGGGAGGATGAAAGAAGTGGTAGGAAGAACATGTTTTCCTATAGGACTCGCATGGATGTGTCTGAACCCACAAAGCATCTAATGAGCCAAGCTCCCTTTTAATTATACAGCAGTCAACCGCACAGAGCCCAGATGGGCATGTGGGCTTTGCAGGCCACAATGCATTGGTGGCATTTTTCTGCTTCCTCCTGAAGGTGCACACACCAGGACGAACCTCCCACCAGCTTCATCCAGGTGTGGGCTGTGGAAGAAGCAGCCAACACTTTCATGTCACTGCCAAGCTCTGCATGGCCTCTGGCTGCGCTCACCCGCGGAAATGCTGAAAAGTGAGATGACTGCTTGACTTCATGCTTTTCCGAGGTCTACGTAGTTATGTGGATGCATATATATAAAGAAAAGCATTAGATGAATCTTTAATGTGTCTAATTGCCTTCAGTTGATACGAAAAGACGTAAGAAACCTGGTATCTCTCACAACTAGAACCCAAGTAAATTTCTCATAAGAATGGTGATGCTTTTGGAACTAGTAAAGATTTTTCCTTTGTCTTGTTTTGTTTGCTTTTCCAAAAGTTCCATTAGACCCAGGGTGCATCGGCACGACTAAGACCCAACAGCCAGTGACAGTACTATTACCTACAGAAACACATTACTCTGCCTGAGAGAAAAATTAAGAAACACCCATTTAGTCAAGTATCAGCAGTACCGTGAAAAGTTTCACTGCCTCTTTCTTGCCCATAACCTTGACCTGAGTAATCAACTCAGTATCAAATCTGATCATTTAGAGATGTTTTTTCTTTCAGTTTCTCTCTCTGTTGGAAAATGGCAAGGCAATGGGGCCTAATCTTACTGTCACCTTGCGAGCAGGCACAGGTGGCACAGAGGTACCCCGATGGGAGAGGCCAGCTCCTCTGGAGGTAGCTGCCCAGAGATGACTGCAGGCACATAATGACAGACTGGAAGGAATCTGTGCAATTATAATTTGAGTCACTCACTTGACAAGGATAATGAGGCAGAGAAAGGGCAAGTAGTGTGGCCATAGCAAATCTGCTGCTGAGCCAAGAATAGATGGGAGCTATCTCAGCTCAAGTTTGTTCTCAACCACAAAAACCACTCTTCCTAAAAACTCTTCCTGTTGTGCTGACCGAGCAGAGCTGACTGTGCTCTCTGGTGGCGGGGGACCCATTGCTGTCCTCACCCTGACACTAAGCGGCATCAAACCACCCGACGCTCCCGGAGGGCCGCTGGCCCTGGAGGCACAGGGGCCAGCGAGCTGGTGCAGCTGCTGCCTGTCATCCCTCTCCAACTAGGAGGGGAATTCCCTCCCCGGCTGACATCTCACGCCTCTCAACAATGCTGCAGTGAAATCCACCTCGTCGTAAACTGCTCGTGCGGCACAGCTCCCTTGTCTGCCCCAGCACCCTTGTTGGTCAAGGATCAGAGGTTGGTGTGGCTTCCGCTCCGCTGGCTCCCCAGTGCGGAGCCGCTGCATTTATTTTGCCTGTGCTTGAGATCCCTGCAGCTGCTTTGCAGCACTGGGAGAAGGCTGCAGGCAAACCCCAAGTACTGCGTTCACCTGGGGGAGATGCTGAAGCTGACGCCCACCAGTAAGCGCAGCACACGTGAACATTTGGTTGTCGGTATTCAATGCTTTCAAGCATGCCAGTTTAGCTGAAAAAACATCTGTGAACCCTCAGAAAGGGTGATCTCAGGCTCCCCAAAGCCAGGGGAAAGCCTCCTGTCGATGCTGCAGTATACTGCATGAGTGAAAAACTGCTATGTGTTTTTGGGGAGAAATGCAGGAGGAAACGTTTGCTAAAGGAGGTGAAGATTTCCTGCCTCCTCCTTGCTTACATGCACAACTGCTAGTGCCAAAGGCTGCCCAGGTCCTTGGCCCTTCCCAGGCATGCCCGCCGTCCTGCTTCCCTCTTGTTCTGACCAGGAACAGCCCCATCTCCCCTTCTTGCCCACGTGTCTGGATTTCCCTGTGGTGTGGGCAAAAGACACTGGGCTTCAGGCCTTAGCCCAAGCAGAGGTCAGAGTGTGGCCAACCCGCTCTCCAAGCCAGGTCCTGCCAATGTTCCCAAACCCCAGCACAGAGACCTACTCCTTCGCCCTGAGTGAGCTGTGACAGATGGTGTCAGCCTTTCCAGTGAGGCTTAACTGAACCGGCAGAAATATGCTGCTGGATGTTTAAAGGACAGGTTGAACATCATTAATTCTGTGTGCAGGAGAGTTTCTTGCTTCGGGTTTCCTCTCTCCCTTCCTCCTCACCCTGCTCCTTGCAAACCACAAGCATTTTCTGAGAGCTGTAGGATGCACAATCCCCAAGCCTCATAAAGACGTGGCACTGAGCACTTCAGTTTTTTGTTTCCCTGAGGTATTTGCACTTGAGAGCTTCTCCTTGCTACTGAATTTCTTATTTCCCCATGGAGTCTGGCTTGCTATAAACAATGCCTGCATGTTGTTGCTATGTAGGTCCAGCTGGAATCTGCCTACAGTGCAAAAGAAAAAAATTCTATATAAATTCAGAAAGCCACCCACTGACAGGCAATTTGCATTTTTATCTGGAAGATTTTTTTTTTTTAAAAAAAAAAGATTTTTCTAATGAAAGTTCAGTTCCTGAGTTTCTATGGAAACTCATCTGCTTGGTGTGCATGCATAATTTCATAAAGTCAGATCTCAGGAAGATGAGCAATTAGTATAAATACAAG